AGAAAAATAAATAATTATAATAAATAACAGTATAAGTCATAACAATATTATTATCATCCTCATCCTCATTATTATCGAAATAATTTTCAAAATCAAACCGACAGTTAACTGTTACAGCCATTATATAAATGAAGCATATATTTGAATTCACAACGAAATTCCTTCTTCGGTCATAACTAACGGCTTTAGAAACTTCTCATGTAATTCGTGTTCATAATTGAGAGATATCCATTTCGTCGTTTAAGTAGCTAGAATGTTTGAAAACTTGAGAAAATAGGATAAAAAATACAAACATAAACATCCGAATCCCTTGCCAACGGCAACGCGCACGGCGAATGTTGTTTTCCTTTTCTCGAAACTGAATTTAAAGCTTTGCGGTATATCTACTCTTTCGTTCAATTTATAAAACCATCGATTTGTTCCACCAACAGAACGATCACAAAATAAAAGAATAAATACCGTGATAAAAGCGAAGAAAAGGTTGTGTCGGCAGTCACCTACTCGGACATCGCCGACCCAAGCGAAATTCCTGATCCAAGATGGCGGACTCGGAGGTCTGGCTACCCTCGCTGGCTGTAGCACGACAAAGAACTTTTCTTCCTTTTCTTCTACAGCTGCGCCTCTTTCCTCTCTCTCTCTCTCCTCTGCCGTCTTCGCTCTCATGATGGAAATATTTCCGGTAGAGATGACACGTTCCGAACCTCCGTTTAAGAGCGAGGAGATCCAGATAAGGTGACTGTTTCCGAGGGGTTGGGCTGCGGTCGGGGATGCTAAGCCCTTGAAATGCACGCCGTGGCATATATCCTGTGCTCTGTTTATATCTTTATCATTCTCTTATCCTTCTGCTTTATTTCATCTTAGGGAGACCATGACGAACGGGATAGAAGCAAATCGAGGAATGAGTGAAAGAGAAAAAAAAAATAACAACAGCTTCAAACGTATTTCTCAAACTCCATTAATAAAAGATCTGTTCACGGAAGATTACTAATAGAGTTAGATACAGTTGATTTCCTTACATACTAATTACTGTTATGTTCACCTTTTGGGCATTTCCTTCCTTTTTATGCCTAACCCTCTCTCTCTCTCTCTCTCTCTCTCTCTCTCTCTCTCTCTCTCTCTCCTCTCTCTCTCTCTCTCTCTCTCTCTCTCTCTCTCTCTCTCTCTCTCTCTACTTAATATTTACTACCGTGTTTAACCAGTCCTGTCCGTTGCCAAGAATACACTACTCCATGTGTATGTGAGTGAAAAAAATATATACGTTGTATTTTTTTTATAGCAGATGGTAACCGCGGAACCAAAGCTATTTCCGCTTAATAAACATGTGCTTGAGTAGCTGCTCGGGAGACATGGGTGCGATGTCAACACTGTTGCTGTTGTTTATTACTCTGTGTGTCTGTGTCTCTCTCTCTCTGTGTCTCTGTCTTGTCCGTCTCTCGCTCTCGTTTTATCTCTCTGTTTCTGTCTCTCTCGCTTCGTCTCTCTTGCTCGGTCTCTGTCGCTTTACTTCTCTGTCTCTGTCTCTATCGTCTCCCTCTCTCCCTTTCTCTTCTTTTTTTCTTTCTCTTCCCCTCTCTCTCTCTTATTTTTTTTATCTTTCTCTTCCCCGCCCCCCCTCTCCCCATCCCTATCTCTCTCCCTCCCTCACCCTCTCTCCTTCTCCCTCTCCCTCTCCCCTTACAGTATGTACATAAACACACGTACGCCAGCACTTGCGCAAATAAACAACAAATAAAACAATAAAAGGTACAAGTGTGTTTGGTTCTACTCGACTATTGTCCATAAATATAATGTACAATAATTTGCATATCATCAGGTATTGCCTATTGTTTATTAGTTCCATAATTAGGAAATTTGATGTAACATCCAACCATTCTTATTATTGTTTTGTTTTTATTTCTTTTGAACTGCATGTCAGTAGAATTAAAATTCTCGGGATGCGGAAAAATTACATAGGTATTTTCCCCCAATTTCTTAAACACCAAACAAGCATAAAAAAAATGACCGGCCAATTATTTTGCGGTACGAAAGGGAGATGGGAATTTAGAGATGAAGAGAGGGATAGATAATAATTGAGGTTCCGGGAAAGGGTACGTAAAGTTTGAAAAAAAAAAGATGGATGCTCATTTGACTTCGTCCATATAGCATAGCGGGGGAAAATGATCCTAATGGTCGATGGTAAAAGGGTCGCTTTTTTCCTAATCCCATCATATGAGTGGGTTATAAGTAAACATGACTGGTTTTCATTTTGAGAAAAATGATGAACAAAATATAAAATCTCTCTCTCTCTCTCTCCTCTCTCTCTCTCTCTCTCTCTCTCTCTCTCTCTCTCTCTCTCTCTCTCTCTCTCTCTCTCTCTCTCTCTCTCTCTCTCTCTCCTTCATGCACAAATGCCCGTGCAGTTCGTGCATGTAAATTTGGAGCTTGAAGAATGAATGAGTGACAAGAAATTACTATGCGAGTCAGTCTCCAATTCTGAATGTTTAGCCTCGACGAACGCACGCAGGGACGCATCTATGCACGCACGTATGCAATGATATATGTACGGGTGTATGTACATATATATATATATATATATATATATATATATATATATATATATATATATATATATATAATATATATATATATATATATATATATATATATATATATATATATATATATATGTATATATATATATATATATATATATATATATATATATATATATATATATATATATATATATATATGTGTGTGTGTGTGTGTGTGTGTGTGTGTGTGTGTGTATATATTTATATATTATATACATATATATATATATATATATATATATATATATATATATATATATATATATATATATATATATATATATATATATACATATACATACATATACATATATATACATATACATACATATATATATGTACATATACATATACATACATATATATATATATATATATATATATATATATATATATATATATATATATATACATACATAAATACACACACACAATGCAATGCCTTCCCGCCGCCCCAGTTTGAATCCGAACGCGCCTTCCGCCCAAACCCAACGACCTCTCCCTCGCGCCTTCGCCTTCGCCTTCGCCGCCGACTTCGCGAATGAATGAGCGACTCGGCGAGACGAGACGTCGCGGCGGCCTCTACGCATCCCGCAGCCGGCGTTGCGTGCGAGATGCGGTCCGCGCGCCCGCCCGTTGCTCCGCGGGTGATCAGCTGTTCTCGTTAGAGCGAGTCCGGCCAGCCGCGCTCTCGTTATGGCTCCCTTCGTCACCGTATAATGAAGGGGAACGGGAGCAGGGAACGGGGAGCGGGGAGCAGGGAACGGGGAGCGGGGAACGGGGAGCGGGCAAGGGCGAGGAGGCAAAAAAGAAGTGAAAAGGAGGCAAAAAAGAAGCGAAAGGAAGGCAAAAAAGGAGAAGGGAAACAGCGCTTCAACCCTTTTACGGTGCAGACAGGCAAAAATACATACACACGCACAAACATAATATTTGCTATGTATACATATATATGTGTGTGTCTATATATCTATTTATCTATATCAGTAACTCTCTCTCTCTCTCTCTCTCTCTCTCTCTCTCTCTCTCTCTCTATATATATATATATATATATATATATATATATATATATATATATATATATATATATATATATATATATATATATATATAACATACACATATGTACACACACATATACACATACATGTGTGTGTGTACGTGTACATATGTGTGTATGCCCTCCCGAGTATGAACGAGCGCCCCCCTCCCCCCCCCACCCGCAGCTGCTGTCCTCGCAAGCAAAAGGAGAGAGAATAACTGGAGGGCATACAAGCAAGCAAAAAAAGGTCACAGAAGAATAAGCAGATAGAGGAAACCTTGTAAAAAAAATAGAGAAAGGAGGAGAAAGAGAGAAAGAGATAAGGAGTGATTGAAAAATAAAAGGGAAGAAAAAGATAGGGAAATAAAGAGAAAGACAGAAATTTGAAAAAAAAGAAAAAAGAGGAGAAATGAATAAACAAAGAAAGAAAGAAATAATGAAAAAATAGGGAAGAAAGAGAGAGATAGAAATGAGAATAAAAGAAGAAGGAGTAACCCATCTTCCTTCCTCGGGCAATTTCCATGAACAATGCGACCCTTGCCACCGTCCCTTAAAAAAAAAAAAAAAAAAAAAAAAAAAAAAAAAAAAAAAAAAGTGAGTGAACATGAGGGAGGTGAACATGAAGCGTTCGGAGATGATGAACAACTGGTGAACATGGAGGAATATGACCTGTTAAAGGGCAACGAACGGGAGAAACATGATTGTTATGATTATTTTAGTATCAAATTGAGGATTATTATATATCAAATTGACAGATAGTGAAAATAAGAAAATATTATTTTGTTTTATTGCTTGTTATCCAATGAACGAATGTGATATATTTAATTAGAAAAAAGCGAACGTAAGAAATATAATTTTGGTGTAAAATTAGGGTCATGAAAATAATAAAAAAAGTACAGGAAAAAATTATTTGATAAATATATCAATTAATCAGTTATTTAATACTATAGGTGTTTGTTATATTCCTCTGATGAAATATATTATGTATATTAAAATAGGATTTTATATATATACATTTTTTCTTCTTTTTTTCTTTGGCTGAAAATTATTAACCTCAAAACTCACATGCTTAATACAAAGCATATAATCAACTATATTTAGATAAGAAAAGATGATAGATAGAAAGATAGATATATAGACAGATATATAGATTGACGGACAGATAGATAGATAGAGAGATTGATAGACTAAAAGACAGGAAGGCAGATAGATAAAGAGATAGATGGATAGATTGATAAATAGATAGACATGTAGACAGACAGATAAGATAGATAACCAGACATACAGCCACACATACAAAGAGACAGACAGACAGACACAGACATTCTCTCTCCACCTGAGAGGAGCGGTATAAAAACTCGAAACGTGGGAGGGTTGCCATAACGACCATGAGATCACGTGACCAAGCGATCGGTAATTCCGTTCCAAGAATCGCCGGAAACACATGTGAGAGAGAGATGGTTCCTCTCTCTCTCTCTCTCTCTCTCTCTCTCTCTCTCTCTCTCTCTCTCTCTCTCTCTCTCTCTCTCTCTCTCTCTCTTCTCTCTCTCTCTCTCTCTCTCTCTCTCTCTCTCTCTCTCTCTCTCTCTCTCTCTCTCTCTCCTCTTCTCTCTCTTCTCTCTCTCTTTTCTCTCTCTCTCTCTCTCTCTCTCTCTCTCTCTCTTCCCTCTCTCTCTCTCTCTTCTCTCTCTCTCTCTCTCTCTCTCTCTCTCTCTCTCTCTCTCTCTCTCTCTCTCTCTCTCTCTCTCTCTCTCTCTCTCTCTTCTCTCTCTCTCTCTCTCTCTCTCTCTCTCCTACATGTTCCGGTTTCATTTTTTTCTTTTCCTTTTTCTTCATTTTCCATAACAAATTGTCTATTAAGATTTATATATTTGTCTTAGAAGCTATTTGGCTTGTAAATACAGAGAGATTAGATAATGATAATAAGTAATATTGAATAATAATCATGATAATAATGATAATGATATAGCAATGATAATATTAATGATAATAGAAATAATAATAATGATGATGATAATGATAGTAAGAATAATGACCATGATAATGATAATAATAATGGTATGAATGAATATATTAAAAAGAATGATGATAATAATAAGGATAATAGTGATGATAATAATTTTAATGATAGTAATATTAAATGATAATAATAATAGTAATGATAATTAATAACAACAAACAACAATAATAATAATAATAATAATAATAAGAGTAATAATAACAATGATAAAATTAATAATGATGATGATGATGATAATGATAATAATAATAATAATAATAATAATAATAATAATAATAATAATAATAATAATAATAATAATAATAATAATAATAATAATAATAATGATAATAATAATAATAATAATAATAATATAATAATAATAATAATAATAATATAATAATAATAATGATAATGTTCCTTCTCTCATCAAAATTCCGAAGAACCTCGAAAGAACTTCATTAAAACCCTTCATGAACCTCAATAGAACCTCTCGGACACCTCATCAAAACCCCAAAGGAACCCCAACAGCAAGCCTTAAGAGTCTCAGTAGAACCTCTTAGGAACTTCATCTTAAACCCTTCAGGAACCTCAAAGGAACCTTATCATAGGCCCTTCAAAGAACCTCATCCTAAACCCTTCAAGAACCTCGCCAGAACCCTAAGGAACCCCCAACCCCCCCCCTCTCAAGGAACCTCACCTAGAACCCCAAGGAACCCACCAACCCCCCCTCTCAACTCCACCCCCCTCTCAAGGAACCTCACCAGAACCCCTAGGAACCCCACCCCCCCAACCCTCTCAAGGAACCTAAGGAACCCCACCAACCCCCTCTCAAGGAACTCCACCCCCCCTCTCAAGGAACCTCACCAGAACCCTTTCTGAACCCCACCGAAACCCCTCAAGGAACCCCAACACCCTCTCCTCCTCCTCCTCCTCTCTCTCTCTCTCTCTCTCTTCTCCTGCCCATCTGGCGGAGGGATCTTGTCGCTCTACCCAACCCCCTTCCCCATCCTCCCCCCATCCCCCTCTTCCTCATCCTCCCCTCCCCTCCCTCTCCCCATCCTCCCCTCCCCCCTCTCCCCGGCCCGACCCCAAGGGGAAAGTCTCTCTTCGGCGGCGGTCATATTTCCGGCGATCCTGCGACCACTGCGGCGCCTCTGGATATTTTTCAGAAAGCAGAAGCAGAGGGCATCCTCTCGCGGGCCTCCGATCCTTCAGGGCTGCGTCCAAGTCGCCCTCTCGGCCTCTTAGCGACGAGAGAGAGAGTGAGAGAGAGAGAGAGAGAGAGAGAGAGAGATCGTACCGGAGGGAGTGAATGGAGTCTTCGGGTAAAGGTTTTATCTTATCTTTGTCTTTTTTTTTGGGGGGTCTTGTCTTTGCTGCTTTTTTTTTTTTCTTAATCAAATATATCTCTTCTCCTTTTTCCTCTAATGTATTTGGTTTGGTTTTGATTTTTTTCCTTACTTTTTTTTTTGGGGGGAGGGTTATATATATATATTTTTTTGAATTGGTTTTCTTTCGGTTGATAAACGTCCCTAGAGAAGAGCATCGCAAGGGTATACGAAGGAACTACCATTCTCTTTGCGTCAGAATCGCGATCTTGGAAACGGCCTCGTTAACGTATTGAAGAGAGGGCAACGAAATTGCATAATAAAGAGAATGGAATCGCTTTAGATGGGTTTCAAAAGAGAAAATCGCGTCGCCCAAAACAAGAGAGAGATGAAACCCTCGAGAACCCACCGAACTCAGCTCCGGCGGGCTCAGCGTGTGCCTGGCATGGTTCTACAAGAGGTCCCTAAACTCAGCGCGGCCACACACACCCCGCTCCCCCTCCCCCTCCCCTGGCCCGCCCCTGGCCCGCCCCTCCCCGTCCCTCGCCACTTTACCGCCGCACGATTCCTGGAAGGTAACCAACGGTCTCCCTGCCGTCAGCATCCGCTGGTGCATGCAGGAAGTGGTTAATGGCGCAGTTTCCATACTGCAGTGCTTTTCTCGGCGCTTTCTGCGGGCGTGAGAGGCCCGCGATGTATGTGTGACTTCGGATTACGTGAGGGAGGGGCTGGAGGGCGTGGCGGGGAAGGGAGGGAGGGAGGGCCGCATGACGGGGGCGGAGCTTCGCTCTCGCTCGCCTCGTCTCACACTTTGCACGTTACGCTGTGACGCCGGAACACGTGGTCGGTGCCTCGCCTGGCCTGGCACGGCGAGGCTGGCACTCGGGGACGGCCAGGCTCGGGCCGTGACACTGACTGCCGTGTTTACAGAGGGCGCAGCGGTGACTGCGCCGCACACGGTGGCAGCGAGCGGCTGCGCGCGCAGTTCAAACAGTTCAAACTCGGACTCACACTGGCGGGACGCACACTTGGCCTCGTGCTCTTCGTCGTCGTCGTCTTCGTCGTCGTCCTGGCTGCTCTCGTGGGCGTGTGGGCCGAACCGGTGGCCGGGGGAGCCTTCCCTGGGGGACTGGCCCCCCAGCCTCCACCGGCCGTGCTCCTCCGCTCTGTCCATGTGGACCAGACTGTGTGAGCAGCGGGGTCGCCGCGGCGAGCGCCGCCACCCGCTGCCACGCCCCCGCCACTCTCGCGCCTCTTCACGCTCCTGCTGGCCCTCCTGCCGCGGCTGCTCTTCCTGCGGCTGCTCCCGCCGCCGCCAGCGGCGTCGCTCGGCGTGGCGGGCGTCGCGGGGGGACGCGGGGCGGCGCCAGCGGCGAGCGGGGCGGGAAGTCGCCCCGGGGGAGGGGGTCGGCGCTGCGCCGGTCGGGGCTGAGCGGAGCGCGAGGCCGAGCGGCGGCCCCGGGGGCGGAGGCCCCCTGGAGGAGGAGCCCCTGCGCGACCTCCCTGCTGGCCGGGCTGAGCGCGAGCTCGTAGGGCGGAGGGAGCGGCCACGGCTCCTGCGGGACGGAGCTCTGCGGCGCCACGCCCACGCGTCGGAGGAGGCGCCCAGGCCCGGGGAGGCCATGGGCGTGCTGGAGGCCGGCCATACCTGCCGCAGGTCGCCCTCCTCCCAGCCCTCCAGGCACACGGTGGCGCCCGTGATGCTGCGCCAGTCGGACGGGCCCGGCTCGTCGTCGGGGAACTGCGTGAAGGGCGCGTCCTGCGCGCCCGAGAAGTACGAGTCCCTGAGCGGGCGGGCGCGCGGCGGGGCGCGTGGGCGGCGCGGCGGCGAAGGGGCTGTCGGCCGCCGTGGCACTCGCGGCGCCGTGCGGGTGGCCTGAGTGCGTGGCCTCCGGGGTGGCCGTGGGCGGGGGGAGGGCCCGGGGATGCCGGGGGACCCGTAAAGGCTGAGCGAGGGCGTGAGGGCGGGGTCCGGGGACACGCCCTCCCACGAGAGCGACGCCCCGGGGCGGCCGGACCCGCGGCGAAGAGGTCGAAGGTACTCGTAGGCTGACTTTGTGCTGCGAAGGACTCGTGCGTGGGCTTGGGCGTGGAGAGCGAGGCGTAGGACGTGGTGACAGCGGCGGGGTGTAGGGGGCGAAGACGGTGGGGGGGGGCGAGGGGGGCCGGGGGTGCCGCATGGGGGCGTCCGTGGTGTCATCCATGCCAAGCAGCAGGGCGAGGGAGAGCGGCAAGTCCGTCAGAGAGGCGGCCACGGCGACGGTCATCCTGCTTGCGGTGTCCGAAAGCCTGGTGGGAGCCGCACGTCGGGGAGCAGGTGCCGGGAACGCGTCGGGGCGTGGGCGCGCGTGCTCGGGCGTGTTGAGCGACGCGCGTGGGCGTGAGCGGTGGCAGGTAGGGCTGGCTGGGCGCCTGAGTCACGGGTGAGTCAACGCGGCGCTCAGAGGCTCGGGCGCCGCCGAGAGGCCCACGCGTGCTGTCTGCGCCGCGGTCGCCGCCTAGCACATCGCGTTTTCTGTCACTCGTGCAGGGGGAACATTTCTAAAGCGAACGTTTCTCGGACGTTTCTCACGACACCTCGCATCACTGGCAACGACCAAGTCACATCGCACTGAACGGCTCACAACACTTTCGAAAATACTCCCTTTGCGCCGCCTCATAGCATGCGAGCACAGAAATCACCGAAGGTCCCCCCGCGGCGCCGTGGGTGACAGCATCAGCACGACCCGGGGCATCCCAGCCGCTGCCCCTTCAGGAATCCCAGCGGACCCCGGAGGCTCACTCACTGACAAAGGTCGTGCGAAGGATCACTCGCCAAGGTCGACACGAAGGCACGCGCACACGCAAGGAAAGGGCGCTCGCACCAGCGCACGCACTCCCGTCGGCGGAGGAGCGCGGGACACACACCAAGGAGGTCGGAGCGTCGCGGGACGTGTGAGCGGCGAGAGCGCGGACGGCGAGAGTCCGACGTCCCTGCGCGCGGACGGGCACCAGCAGGCCGCGCCGTGTCTGAACAAGTGAGGCTCGGGCGTCCCTACGCAGGAGCTGATCCAACCCCGGCGGCTGATCGCACTCGACTGAGGGCCTCTCCTTTTACTCACCCACGCACTCACTCATCCTCATTACTCACCCATTGCCTCACACCTGTTGGTAGCGCCCGAGAGACTCATTCGCCGGAAACAGCCCTCGCCGAACAACGGTGAGGACAAACCGGAAATGACGAAGACAGCGGACGGGTCGCGAACGGGAGCGGATTATGTCACTTCTTCGCGTAACGGAACGATTGCGGACGAGCTAGGTCAACCCCCTCCTCCTCAGGACACCCCCACTAACCCCCCTCCCTCCATCCCCCCCTCTACCCCCCCCCCCACTCTGCTACTCCAGCAACACTGACCACAAGGCTGGTGTGGGTGGGTGGGCAGGTGGTAGGTGGGCAGGGTGGGTGGTGGGTGGCGAGGTAGGGAGAGGGGGGGTTGAGTCAGGGAATTCAAAGGTAAGCTTGGAACAGAATCTCCTGGCAGGCGACTCCAGGGAAATTGTGTTACTCGCAGGCGTTCAGCCTTGACTTTGAACGAGGAATCCGTGTTGTAGCATCTGCTGTGGAGAATATTAGTAATTATTTTAAAATATCATTATTATTTTTATCTTTTTTGATTTTAGTTTTCGTTCTTCGTCATAGCTTACAAGATAAACACAAAGCTATCCTTTGTGTTGCCAATTGTTATCAATGCTGATTTTTTTTATCACTATGAAGGTAAGAAGATAAGATATTCATATTTCATACTAATTTACTGCACTGCCTTAGTTGCAAAATCATAAAGTTTTTAAAGATAATTAACATTCACTTCAACATCATTACAATGCCATAGTTGCGAGATTATATAAGTTCCTCGGGTCATACAAGGTCAAACGAGCTCACATGACCACCCCATTGCACGGAGGCCTTTCAGCTGGGTCATGCACTGTCTCATGCCTATTGTCTCTCTCGAATAAGGTCATGGGAGCGTTTCCTGTGGGGATGGGAATCACTTTGTCTCTCTGTGCTTGTGTGACCTTTCAAGTGCTACTCTGGGTCTTGCTAAGTTCACTGAGGAGGTTTTGAGTTTTTTTTTCTTTATTTTCTATTTTGTGTCCTCGTATTTTGTTTGTTTTGCCTATTTTTTTTTCCTTTCTCTTTTTCTTTGCGTTTCTCTCTCTGTCTCTCTTCTGTGTTCTGTGTTCCGTCTGTCTCTGTTGTCTGTCTGTCTGTCTGCTCTGTCTCTCTCTCTCTCCTCTCTCTCTCTCTCTCTCTCTCTCTCTCTCCTCTCTCTCTCTTCTCTCTCTCTCTCTCTCTCTCTCTCTCTCTCTCTCTCTCTCTCCATCTCCCTCTCACCTCTCTCTCCTCTCCTCCCTCTCTCTCTCTCTCTTTCTCCCCCCCTCTTTCTCTGTCTGGTCTGTCCTGCTGTCTCTCTCTCTCTCTCTCTCTCTCTCTCTCTCTCTCTCTCTCTTCTCTCTCTCTCTCTCTCTCTCTCTCTCCTCTCTCTCTCTCTCTCTCTCTCCTCCATCCCTATCCCTCCCTCCCTCCACCTCTCTCCCTCCTCCCTCCCCCTTCCCCTCTCTCCCCTCTTCTCTCTCTCTCTCTCTCTCTCTCTCTCTCTCCTCTCTCTCTCTCTCTCTCTCCTCCTCTCTCTCTCTCTCTCTCTTCTCTCTCTCTCTCTCTC